TTTTCCCAAATAAAAAACATTGAAAAAGGAAAAACTTACTGTTATTGGGTCCAGAGTGGGCACTGGACGGTTTAGGGCACTGAACCGACTAAAATTTTCTGCGCACTAATTTTTTTGGTTTAAATTTTGAATACCATTGCAGCATTACCGAACCGATATTCTTGGTTTTTTTTTTTTCGACCTTCGACATTTGATTTTCAATGGCTCACTCCGAATTCTATTCCATTTTAACCAAATTTAATCTACGGTTTTTAGTGGTGTTTGCTATTCGATTTTTCTTTAAATTTTTGGTATTTAATTTTTGTTTTTCAGCATTTAAAAAATAAAAATTGAAGTTGTTATCATTGAAAAATAATTCAAAAAAGAAATTTATTGTGATAATTAACATTTTATTAATGGGTAGAGGAAATATAGAGATTGAACTACAATATTAGATTTAAAGAAATTTTTTTTTATGATCTCTTATTATATATCTCTTAAAAGGTTTTTATGACATTTTACATAAACACTATAATTCATCTAAAATCTTAACTAATACCGACAGTAATTGAAATTTAAGTCTTTAAGAAATCCTTTACAAGATTCGTTTTGTCATTGTAATTTTGATTTCCTTCTAAATTTGAATTATAAGTATATTAAGATTGAAGATAATAGAACATCGATATATATATATATATATATGTTTACAAGGCTTTATGTTGCACTTTTTGTTGCGCTTATCTTAGTTTTGAACAAACCTTGGCGGAAATAATAGCATTGATAACTCCTTTGTCTTTGATAGGATAAAGTAGCACATATGTGCCAAAGATATATTGATAAAAAATTATGTCTTTGTAATAAGATATGAACTTGTTTTCATTTAATTAGTTTATGACTTACTTAATTTTTAAGTTGTAATTGATTAATATCTGTTTGTTTCAATGAAAAATGTGGGGAAAAGAGCGTCAAATTTTATAGGTGATTCGAGGCCAAATGTCCATTGTAGAACTTTTTCTCTGTGATTTCCTGCTCTATTGATTGATGGGATAGAACCCTTATGCGAGAAAGGTTCAAGGTAACAAATTGATAGGAGAGAATCGCTGCCAAGGTTGGGATACAGCTTGAGGCTTCAAAATTAAAAGAGATGCAGGATTTCAAACTAGGAAACTTTTTCTTTGAGTTTTTATTTTTTTTGTGGCAGAACTTGGGAGGGGAGGGAGAGGAGGACGGGGAAAGAGGGAGAGGTAGAAGACAATGCAGGTGTCTGGCAAGCTAAAAGTAACTTATATAAAAATAAAATTTTCTTTCATAAATTTAAAAAT